GACAGGAAGCTTTTCATATACTTCCTGTCTGAACACTACACAAGAATATTCTATCACAATGGCCATTCTTGGTAATCTGCTGTCCTTTCCCAAATGTATTGAATGCAGCAGTCATATACTTGAGATTGGGGCCAACAACCTAGAGCTGGAAAAAAAATTATATCAACACAGATAACATATTTCTATAATAAGGAGTTATGCTGCATTGCTCACATTTGTAAATTGTAATATTACATTTTTCCATTACTTTGTTTCAAACACTTTGTTAAGAAGAAGCTTTGATGTCCTGAACAAACATTTGCTTATAGTCACTGGTAAATACTCTGGAAAATATCAACCCCTATAGAATTGCTGTCTGCATTGGGGCAAAGGGCTTCACTTAGGTTAAGACTGTGGCCGACTTCGGCAAAACATGATGCATTGCAGAACATCCCAGACTTTCCATAACATTCAATAATTACGCTTCATTATCCCACAATATATCACAACGCTGAAGCGAGCTGTGTCTTAGGTCACTTCACAAATTGATGGAATATGCAGACTAACAAACAAACTCTCCTTACCTCATACTGAGTAAACCAGCTCCAGTGGAAGATGCTTGGTTAATATTTTATAAGTAAAATATTTTCTCCACGTGTGCAGCACTTTTTTTTTTTTTTGTTGGATGGAGGTGTTAAATGATGTCACTCAGGAACACGGGATTTTTCCCCATTGCAGCATGCTATGCAAACAGTTTCCATTCCGCTCATAAAATATTAATAGTCCATCTTCCAGCCTTGCAATTTAAAAGAGAGTAATAAGCTTCATCTTTTTTTTTTGTCTTCCAATTGTATTTAATCATAAAAAAAAGCTTTGCTGTAACAGGAACTATACACCAAGGTTCTCTGTTTTTAGCAACCCTCAGGACCACTTGGCAGTACTACTGTGTTGGCATTTTGGCAAAGGGTTTATGACTGTTAATGGGTTTTAAAGCTGAATTACAGGCAGATATGAAAAACAACATCACTTAATCCAGTTACATAGTCATAAAATGTAATTGCGTGTATTTTAACATATAGCTTACAGCTAGTGTTACACTAATATCAAGCTCCTGCAACCTCGGACACAGCAGTACTCACGCTGCAAAAGGGAGAGAGAGAGCCAATCAGAGCTCTGTATCTTTGCACAATGATGTCAGTCAACGACTAAGCACCCGGTGGGGCACTAAACACGCTATCCTCTCCTGCTACCCACTGTTTGAATGATGTCTATGTATTATTAATAAAGCTATCAAGACGTGCAGATATCTGTGTTCTTTTGCTGTCAGTCAACAGTTTTGGCAAGCTTCCAGGAGGATAGAACAGAATGTTGACCTTAACAGTGTGTTGTTTTTTTTCTTGATAGGCCAGTCACAGACCTGAACCAGGTTGGTGGCCAAGAAGTATTATGTAACTGAAAGGAATGATTTTCTTTTCCCCCCTCAGAGACCCCCGGTCTGTGGAGAGATTCCTGGTTTATCAGCAGAATTCTGGGAACACCCCTTGAACACGGAAATCACGACAGCTTATGTTCAGAGATGTTCTAAGTTTATTAGACATTAATAAGATTATATAGACTACAGATAATAATAAGGGAGGGGGGGGGGGAGGAGCGAGTTTCAAAACTGTAACTTGTAACTTTCCATCATGAGCTAACTACATGAAACATAACATATACATTTCTTGGTACAAATTGTTTTGGCTAACTTTCTGGGAAAACAGCAGACAAAGACATTGTCAGGGTCGTGTTAGCTTCTGTTGATACATCCTTGAACAACCAAAACAGTTTCATTAAACTTCTAATATCTCTACAAAAAGCTAACTTAATACTTAATACTTAAAATGGCGTACATAATACAAAATGGAAGTTATCTAGATCCTTTCAGTAACTACAGTAAAGAAAGGCATGGTCACCAACTTGGCTGTGATCTATATACCACAACTTGGAGAGAAGCTCAAAGCACTGCAAAACTTCCACCTGTAGTCTAAAGCACAGATCGGGGGCCAACATTCAAACAAGCTCATCCAGGCTAGCTGAAACAGATCGGAAAAAAAAGTGCAAATGCCACACACCAGGACCCAAGCAATATATAGAGAGGTAACGATTCAGCTTGAGCTTGAACTCCTCCTGGCTAAGCTCTTCTGACAAGTTTTGCCCCCCCCCCCACTGGGCTTAATCATTGATTGAGCCCTGTAGGAGGGGAAAAACCTGTCAGCATAGCCAGGAGGTGTTCAGGCTGAAAATGTATCTTTACTTATCTATATATTAGCTGAATTCCGGTGTGTGGCATTTCCAACTTTGACTAACTTGACTGTGTTGTCTAGGTTACAAGAACACAATTACAGATTATTTGGAAGGTAAAGCAGTATTTATATATACAGTATATTTCAGCTGTTTATTTAACTGTTTGCCTGCCATTCAGCTTGAAGAGAAGTTCAATAATATAATGTAATTGTCACGTACCGCCTGGCGGTATCTCTAGCAACCCACAAGACAGAATTCCCCAGGGCGCGGGGTCTAAGTCCCAGTCTGCTTATTCACCAGGGCCCCTGATGGTGGGGATGGACTTGGAGCAGACTGTGACCAGGTCGCGGCCCCTGAGTGCACCCGTCTGTGGTAGAGGGAACCGCCAGAGATATGTACTGGAAGAGAGCCTGATGTGAAGAGGCGGATATACCTGGGCAGCAGTGACCGGATCCGTGCAGGATGGATGGACGGATGGATGGCAGGGTTGTGTAGCGTAGTCAGACAGGCCGGGTCGGTAACAGCGGAGACAGAACGGTACAGAGCAGCAGACAGAGAGTAGTTGGGTCACACACCAGGTTCAGCAACAGGAGGTCAGTAAATCAGGGGTATGCAGGAGAGTAGTCAAACGAGCCAGGGGTCAGAGCAGGAGAAGGTCAGCAGAGGTCAGTATCAAGCAGGGTTGGCAACAAGGTCAATCAGCAGGCACAAGGAGCAGAAACAGATAATAAGACCATACGGCAATGTGAGTCTGTGCAGGGCTGGTTTAAATAGTGCACCCTGCACTGTCATTAGCGCCAGGCGCGCGTCCGCGATTGTGAGTGTGCATGTGCGGCCGCCGCCGTTGCCACAGCTGCCTAGGTCCTAGCACCCGCCGGTTAAAGTGTATCGGCGTTCTGCAAATGCGCAGACCCGCGCGCTGCCGCCATCCCTGACAGTAATATGAAAACATTTTGTACTGCAGGAGCCTTTACTCTGTATGGTTTTTTACAGGTAGCACATAGGTTTGCCCCATTGGTCATGGGTAGTATACAGATAGAAAATCATTTGACATTCCAATGAGTAAGACAGAAACATAGCCAGATTCAGTCTCAGGTTGCTTACTAGAACATATGGTCACTTAATAAAGATGGGCTAAAAGTGGTTAACCACTTGCCCTCCAGAGGATTTACTCTCCTTCCTGACCAGGCCATTTTTTGCGATACGGCACTGCATTACTTTACCTGACAATTGTGTGGTCATGCAACGCTGTACATAAATTACATTTATGTCTTATTTTCCCCACAAATAGAGCTTTCTTTCAGTGGTATTTTGTCATCTGTGCATTCTTTATTTTTTGTGTTATAAAAAAAAACAGACCAAGAGATTTGAAAAAAACAATAGTTTTGACAGTTTGCTATTAGACATATCCAGTAAAAAAATTTTTAAAAAATCAAATTTCTTCATAGATTTAGGCCAACATGTATTCTGCTACATGTCTTTGTAAAAAAAAAAATCCCAATACACGTAAATTAATTGGTATACTTGAAAGTTATAGCATCTACAAATGGCGATGTATATACCGGAATTTTTTTTTATACTAGTAATGGCAGCGATCAGCGACTTATAGCGGGACTGTGGTGGGCATTCTGACACTGGGGGGGAACTGACTAACTGCTACTGACATCCCAATAACACAAATACAGTGATCAGTGCTGATATAAAGCACTGGGCATGAAGGGGTTAACATCTGGGGCAATCAAAGGGTTAACTGAGTGCTGTGTGGGTTTTACTAGGGAAACATACTGCTGTGTATTTCTCTGCTGTGCAATGGAGTGTGATCCAACTTTAAACTAAAAACTAGTGCCATTCTATTCATACTCTTCATACCTCTGACAAAAATTCTAAGTAAATTTGATGACTTGACAAATGTCCATTGATAGTACTTCAAAATTTGATTTACTTGTAATCTTCAGATAGAAATGTCTTTGTTCAAGAAAAAATTTCCATCCTGCTCTTTCAAATTTTCTTGTCACTGAGGTCGAAAATGAATGTCAATTTGGCTCCTATAATAATTATAAAAGTGAAAAAAATGTTCTTAAAATGAACAATATTGGACACAATTTTACCAGTATATGGTCAGCTTTAACATGTCTATGTGCAGCTAAGGATATCAATCAGTGGTATGGCAGCCGGGCTGCCCCTAATGGCTGCAAGAGAGAGGAGTAGACCATTAACACCACATAGGAGTTAAGTGGGAGCTGCTAGCACAGTACACTTTATACCATAGATAAAAAATCTTCAATATTATTCTGCTCACCTCTCTTTCTATTTGATGTGATATCTGTGATATTGGGGAACTTAACTCAGTGGTAGTAGCATTTTCCAGTGAGTCCACAATAGTCAGAACATTGTTTCAGGGCTTGTTGGACTATTTTATTTGAAAATAAAGTTCCTTACATCAGGATTCCCTCACAGGGGTTTCAGCTTCATGCAGCATTCAAAACCAAAAGAGGAAAAGGACAAAATAATACCAAGCCTTATGGTTCCTACTCTTTACAGCACCATTGTTCAGGTCCTTTGCCTTGGTCCTCTAGACCAACTAACAGCACACCTATGCTAACGTACAACAGTTGTAGTTCCCTCAGCAACTCTTTAGTTGCAGCTCCCTATTGCATGGGCCCATACCCTGGCCTCCCAGTAGGAAAATCTCCTGAAAAATCTCATCTGGGACCTCTTGGCTTTTGCGTGGAGCACACTTGTCCCCTCACAGGGGCGGACTGACCATTTGGAAAGTTGGGCACTGCCCGAGGGCCCGGGGTCAGTAGGGGGCCCCATGAGATGCCCATGGTACCTTTTTCATAGGCTTTTTTGAGTTTGGGCAAGGACACAGGGGCCCCATGATCCCCTATTGCCCGGGGACCCATGAGGTGTCAGTCTGCCCCTGTTCCCTCAACAGGCCCACCTGTCTCCTGGCTGGAGTCCCAAGCTAAAGCCAGGCCTGTGATTTTAAAACCTGTGGGTGCCTGGACACTCACCCTGCCAGTCCCCTAGTAAATCCAGACACTGAGTTGGAGGTCTTTGAAACTTCAAAACCTAGTCCAGGAGATACAGTACAAAACGCAGAAAAAAAGCAGAAAAAACAAAACTGATAATCAGGAGCCTCACATTCTGCAAACCCTGTGTCACGTTTGACTACTTTTTCACAGTGGCAGTGCCACGCATATACTCGTCACCGACTCGGCCCGTCACATACCTTAATAAATAGTTTATAATCTGGACTTGGTAATCTAATAGGTAAATTAGCCACAGGAACCAAAGGAGCATAGTGTATATGTTGCCTGCTATGTAGTGGCAACCGAAGAAAATTTCAACACTGTTTCCTTAGGAACATTTCTTTGAAAATTGCAGATAATAATAGACAACTAACAACTATAGAAAGTCTACCTTAGCAACAAACCAGATTACAAGATTTCTGTATGGACGCAATGGCCACTTTAAAAGTCTTTACAGACTTAACAACACATAATGGGCAATGGATATTATGTGCAGAGTGTATTATTTCACCATCCTTCATCAAAAGAGTAAATTTGTCTGAACGATTCAGACACACAATTCAGGAATCCATACAAACGTGAGTTGTCAATTTCACAATTCTATACATGTTGGACAAATCAGCATTCCGAGTCAAAATGGTTGATTTCAAAACAATATTCTCTTTACTAGTGCAAGGATATTTTAAAATAAAGGTCAACTTTTACGGGAAAAAAATTATTTTCAGGTTATTAATATAAACTGCAAGCTTTTGGCAGATCCATAATTTACACTGTTCTATATTTATCAAGAAAATAAATTCCAGCAAGCTTCTGAAATAAAGTGATACATGGGAGGGTCTGTTTATTATAATCACTAGATCACTTGATGTAGTAAGAGAAACCTCCCATTTTCAGCATCACTTTTGAGATTTAAAATTCTTGACCAGTATATCACTATAGAGGAAAGGCTCTCTATGTTAAACATAAAACAGCAATTGGGATGTCTAAAATTTAACCTCAACCTCTTTTGAGACCTCTCAGAAAAGCAGTCAACCAATTACAACTTAAAGTTCCATAATCAGACAATTCAAGATTAGTTTGGGTAACACAACAAGGAGTCTGAGGTTTTGACCTGGCCTTAAAATTCTCCAGATTTCATTCTAATAAAGAATCTATGGGATGTTTTGAAAAACAATTCTGTTCCATGAACGCTGAACCTCACAACTTACAGGTCTTAAAGTGTCTACTACTTGTTGCCAGATACCACAGTATATCTTCAGAAGACTAGTGGAGTTCATGCCTTGACAAGTTATAACAGGTAGTCATAATATTATACATATGTATAAAAGTAGTGCCTGCACACTATCGGTTTACTAGATGGACTTGTGACTTTTTTCAACCAGACTAACTATGTAACTATGCAACTATGTTTGAAAAGGCTATGAGGAAATGAGAGTAAATATGCCCAATGTGAGGAGAATTCTCATCACAGGAACAAATGTCCCCATTGGAGAATCCCTCACCTCTTATTTTGGTGACAACTCAAACCTTTGGATTTCTTCTCACTTTCTGTCTCTTTGACAAGGGTCACCAGTGCAAATAGTGGGGTGAATCCCTCCCAGTGGGGACACATACAGAAGAAAAACATTTGAAAAAGGATCTAATCATTACAGACTCCATTCAAAACTAGTCCAATTGCTGCTGAACCTGCATTAAGGTAAAAAGCCTTCTTTTGTCTGCTCCCCTGATCCTCCCTCACAAGTACTTACCTCTACCCAATCAACCCATTCTCCATCCAGTGGTGTGCCCAAGAACAGTGGTGCTGTGCTCTCTCTCCCTCCCTCACTAGACTCAGTGGCAATAGTGGAAACCATTGGCTTCTGCTGATGTTAATCAAATCATCTAACGAGGGAGCAGTAGCAGGGCCAAGCCGCACTGTGTTTCAATGGACATGCAGAGCTCGGCTCAGGACTGATCCCTCACATGTGCCAGGTAAGTATGACATCTTTGTTATTTGTAAAAAAAAAACAACAACTTTACAATCACTTTAACGGATAAAAATGGTAAAAAAATAAAAATAAAAAGAGGCATATTTATTACTGTATATGAGGCCTGACTTAACAGGGTTCACTCTCTACATCAAGGTAGAAAACCTTCTAAAAAAGCAGCTACACCCCTCAACCCCCCTTATACTTATCTGAGCTCAATCTTGATCCTGCTCTATGCACAAGAACAGAGGCTCTCTTGGCTCTCTCCCTCCTCATTCGCTCAGACACAGCAGTGGGAACCATTGGCTTCCACTGCTGTCAATCACAGCCACTGAGGAGGGAGCTGGGGGAAAAGTTGAGCTTTGCTCTGTGTGTATCATGGATGCACAGAACCGGCTCGGAAGCAAGCATGCATGAGTGTGCCCATAGCAAGTGGCTTCCAATGGGGGTACTCGGCTGGGGGAAGGGGCCAGGATAACTGGTGGGGGGACCCCAGAAGAGGAGTATGGAGGCTACTCTGTGCAAAACCATTGCACAGAGCAGGGATATATGGAATGTTTGTTATTAAAAATAACAAATATCCTTTACAATCACTTTACATTGACATGCATTGGCATTCTTTTTTAAAACCATTGTGCTATGTCAAGGTGCACTTTTATGGTACACAGCAGGAGTCAAAATACATAATTTTTCTTTCTTTAATGTGCATTGCAGCATGTTGTGCTGTGTTTGAATGGAGCATGTTCCATTTTTCACAACACATTGGCCTAAACTGAGCTTACTGAACGCATGCATATGGCATGAATGGACCCTAAAGCCTTAGCCACTAACATTTTTCTGTGAACATACTTCACAAATTGTAATATTCAGCATGCATTTTGAAGACTGTCGGTACCTGTAAGATGTCAGTAGATATAAATACAGTGTGGCATTAAAATAACTCTGATACACATAGAGAATTTTATCTTCCTATACTCCTCAAAATAATGTGAAAATAACTGGATACTTTTATTAATGGACATCAACTGCTGGAATGTACAAGTGATAATACAATTACTTGTTCAGTCTGAAGAGATGCAGTGTAATAGAAAATAACTTACACTGATTGGAGTTTATGATTTGTATGGCAGCAATCCTAACACATAAATACAAGTTATTTGTTCGATAATACCAGATGTGTATTCATCTCTTATTATATATGACCACTGAGAGTACAGTTTTGTTAGAAGTTTATACACAAGTCTGATATAAGCTGGCAAAAAAAGCAAAATGGCAGTTTTCTGGGCAAAATGAAATATGCCATATGTTTCATGTAAATATTTATAGAAAGATAAATTAATATTTAACTGCACTTGTTATGGTAGAATATTTTTCCTATGAATGCTCATTTTATCGAGTCTCTCTGTTGGAGACAAGCAGAATTATTACCATGACATGCTCCTGTTTAAAGCTTATGTGTATTTACGTATTTGAGTGCCATGGATTTATTAAAAGTAAAATATCTTGTGGATGGGTCTGTTCCACACTGTTCATCTACAGTATGTCATCTGTTATTGGGTTGTGTTTCTGTCTTGGAAAGAGAGGTCCATCTCCAATGTGTGGCATACAACGCAAAAATTCTACCAAAGTAATTTTTCTTGAGTGAACTTGACCTAGTCTAAAATGTTTCTGAGTGTGACGGGAGTGACTTTTGGGGTGTGAGGGGACCTCTGTATCATCTTCCCAAATTCCCATTATGTTTAACCCACCCTGTACCTGTTTAGGGGTACAGGGTGTGAATGTCCCAGTATTGAGCATCTGTGTGTTGTCCATTGTTTGTTCTATGCCATGTGCTTCATCCCATTGTTCTGTGTCATGCTGACCAGCAAACTATTATAGGATGTACTGTTTGTGTATTGGTGTGGGGGTTGGTCAATGCCCTTTGCCGCATGGCTGCATCCCATTGTTCTGTGTCTTGGTTGGATGGGGAGGGGTGATGAGGTGTTTCCTGCCTATACTGTAGCCCTTCCCACTGATGGGGCGGGCTGATGAGGTGTTTCCTGTCCCTGGTTGTCTTTCCCCACCCTCTGTATAAAACATGTGGTTTGTGTAAAATAAAGGTAGTTGGCTTCCTGTTTTAAGAAGAGCTGGGTGCTGTCTATTTCCTGAGGGATTTCAAGGGTGTGGTCCGTGGATGGTGTTCGGACAGGGGAAGCTGCGGTATAACGGAATATACCCAAGTGCGGTCGGGTACCGGTTCCGTTACACTGAGCTAAGGCAGGTACCTAGTTCTCATGTTAGTCTTCAGATCAACATACATAGTAACTCTATAACTCTGTTCTGAGCTCCAGCCCTTTATTAGAATTGGTAAGCTTACAAATGACACGTTGTTTGTAAGCTGTTTGCCTATTCTAATAAAGGATTGGGACTCAGAATTGGGTGCAAGAGTTTCTATTATCTTGACACAAGTGTATACAAAGTCTATTTTAGCACCAGTGATTCCCTTTTGGAGGAGACAACTAATTTATTGCACAACTTTCACATGGGATCTTAAAGTGACCTCCTCTTTAACATATAGCCAAGAAAAAATTAAGTCTTGCTCCTGCACATGCTAAGCCCCACCCTGTCAATCAACTATCAAATGCCAATGCCTCTACTGTATACTGAAATGTGTTAATGTTACAATTGAATGAAAATGAGCGGGGCCTAATCTCAAAGATTAGACCCATTGTCCTTTGTTGACCTATGATCAAGGGGCTCCAGTGACACAATAGGGGTTATTTACTAAACCTGGAGAGTGCAAAATTGGTGCAGCTCTGGATAAAAGCCAATCACCTTCCAGGTTTTATTGCCGAAGCTTAATTTAGCAAGCTGAAGTTAGAAGCCGTTTGGCTACCATGCACAGTTGCAACAGATTCTAAGT